ATGGTAAAGTGTAAGAACGAAAGATTTTCACGGCGATGTATTCGGAAAGGCTTGATTCCAGGGTAATCCCGTTTTCATTTTAAGGTATATGGCGTAATCATTGAGCTTCCTTTTTAGCTCCATGTTTTACGTTAATTTATTTGGATAGCCATGTCATGTTGTCATGTCACTGTCTCGGTTAACAGGACACCAATATTGAGGGCCGGCAAGGGGTATTTTCGTAAGCTGTTATCAATTGTTATTTATTTTCGTAATAATGTAATTTAAATAAATAAAAAACGTGGACATGGACAAAGTGTAAAATGTAATCAGCTATTTTATTTGTACAAAGATCTTATTTTTGGTAAGTGCATCAAGCGTTTTCTACATTAAATGTCGTAATTCGTAAGCAATTTCCAATTTTGATTCTTAAACGCAAATTATCAAGTATATTTATAAAAATGTCAAATGTAATTAGGAATTTGCTTTATCTGTAAAGTGTAAAAAACAATTGTTTACTGTAATTGGAACTTTCCTTTTTATTTCCTGTAAAAATGTAAAATGCATTTTTTATTTCCTGTAACCTGTACCAGCTATCCCCATTGCCCCCCTCAATATTCCCAAAAACGACACCGAGTCATGGGTGTTTTTGGTCATGGTGTGGTTTATCTAGTTATCGCGATATTGGCCACCAACAATTATATAAAGTATCTGAAAAATATTTATTTGTTTAGACCAAATTATTTAAAACTTTGGTAGCTGATTAAATTCCTGGACAATTAGCGACAATTGTCAAATTACTTGTCTCAGAGCATTGTGTGTTTAATACGACATTCGTTATAACACCATAGGTCTTATTATTTGTTCACACACTCGAATTTCTACGAGATTCTACCAGTACTTTCAACGTTATGCGGTATAACTATAACATGCTGTTTTGTACCCAGAAAACAACACATCACACACTTATGCTGTAAATTGGGATTAAAACCGTTTTATCTATGAAACTGAATTGTTCACACTGCACCGGCATTCATTCATTCTACTGTGAGCAAGATTACACATGATAGGATAGTACCAAATATTTTTGACAATAAATTACTGTAAAACATGTTTTTTTTTTACTAGTAGCCAGCATGTTATTTTAGCTAACTTAGCTAATCCATAATTTAGCTAATTTAGAATAAGGTATGTTCTCACAATGAGATTGTTGACACTTTAGCTAAATTAAGATTCAGTTAATTCATGCATTGAGTCAAATTCGCTAAAATGGCATGTAGCTATTTCAATGTGTTTTACAGTACTTAGTATGCGAAGACAACAGTCACAGAGTAAATAACATCAATTTATTAACTCATAACAACCTACTGAAGGAGGTTAAAGGTTACAACAACAACAAAAATTACAGAAAAAAATTAATCAAATTACAATGGCTAATAGTTTAAAGACAACCAAAAACAGACTAAATTTAAGTTAGTAACGGAAACAGAGTATATGCTACTACTGTTATGCCTTTAGTAAGTAATAAATTTATTGTTATCGAATCTCTGTTTGGCAGAGTGTAGTTGACATGGTGACCATGAGTCTTGTAACGCCTTCGTCATAACAACTGATATCAGTGCAAGTACCATTGTATAATGGGCGGTGATATGAAACCAGATGTCCCCTAACAGCTTCGTATTCGATTTTGTCTAACATCATAAAACAGCTTGTGAAACAGGTTACTGTAGGAACGATATCACGTGATTATTTGACTAGTACTAATTAATTGAACTTGATCGGAAGTCAAGCTGATTCGCGTCGGCAATGATCAAGGTAATCATCGCATTATAATTACTGTCTGTTGAATTACGTCGTTTACTGGAGTGTTATAAAACCTGTCTGCCAGACAGTGTGGCGCCTGGTTGACCAGGAAATGATTACCAGGTCAACTTGACAGCAAAGTGTTTAAAAATAATACAATTCAATTCAATTCAATAAAATACAATACAATACAATACAATTTATAAAATATGTCTAGGGATTCCATCAAATGTTACCAGGAAACGGTACTCGACTATTTTGGTGGTATATCGGTATGCATGTTTTGATATGTCCTAAATTCTATTATATTATTCTAGGCTTAGTGCCCTAAATTGCAAATTGTATAGTAGTATGTGGCGAAATCGCTGCTTGATATTAATGGACGGCGATGAAACAAACATGGTGTTCATAGCGAAAAAGTAAATAAACAAATCTAATCAAGTAACAGACAGTAGATAAAGAATAGCGGTAGTTCCGGCCGAATCTATACCGGTCATCTAACAAATTGGCTTCAAGAGTTCTTCAAATCAAAGACTATAGAGAAGATGTCCAAATGCAAAACAACCTTTGACATGTAATCCCGCCATGCATGGTGATCTTTAGTATCATAGGAACTGCATGCCGGTCCACCGGTTGTTTCCAGCTGCTTAG